CCCGACGGGCCCCGCAGCCCCCACACGCCCGGGGGCGCCTTTGCGCCGAGACCGGCGCGGAGCCGGCAGCGGAGGAGGGGAGGAGCGTCCCTGGCTGGCAGTGCAAGCGGACATGGGCCCCTCTGTCCCGCTCGGAAGACAAATTGCGCTGTTGTACGAGTTGGTTGGGGTTATTTTTTGCTTTTCTGGGGCATTGGTTCCCCCCTGCTCTCCCCCTCCGCCAAGTGTGTGCCCTGCTGTGGCAGCTGCATGCAGAGTTAGAGCTGCCAACTCCACTGCACCAGCTGTATATTGGAGGGCACGTGTAGGATCTTGCCATTCGGGAAATAAAAAATTCCCACAAGGAGCAGTCTCTGAACAGCTGCTTTCCAAAGGGATAATGAGATAGAGAAAGAAATAAAAGTAATAAAAAATTTAGACGTTGGACATCTGTGTGGTTTTGTGAATGTCCCTAGCAGCAGCCTCAGAGTGACAGGCACCAAAGACACCATCCCTTGAAGGGGGCATTTTTCTCTGCAGGTTCCTGTGGTGTCATTTCATGGTCAAAATTAAGTCCCTGGGGAGATCCAGAATCTCCCTCTGCTCCCTCCTTCTCCCCCCTTCTCTCCTTCCCTCCCTTCCTCTCCACCCCTTTTTCTCGCGGGTGGGTTGGGGACCCCATGTCAGAGGATCAGTACCTGAGTGCCTGTCACCTCAGCTCCAGCCTCTTGGTCCTCAGCCGCTCGTAGAAACCACCACTGGATTTCGAGGTACACGGAAGCAGAGCCACTTTGGAAAGCACAAGACATCTCCACATTCTGCCCTTCAGTGGCCGTGACATTTCGGGGAAACTCAGTGAATTTTGCTGCAAAACAAATGCATAACATGTTGGGATCTCCTGTTACCTACTCACTGTTTATTCTCTGCTTTCTGTGTTGCTTTTTCTTTTTCATTCTCTCTCTCTCTCTTTGTGTGTTTTTGGTGGGTTTTTTTTTTGTTTTTGTTTTTTTTCTTTTTAATTTAATTTATCTGCTTTATTTTCTCATTCTCCCTCTTTTATGTTTTTCCATTTTTCCCACATGTTATATCCCCTGGTTTCTTTCACACCCAGGTATGCCTTCCTTCCCTTATACACAAATCCACTTTCTTTACACTCTAAGCTCTGCTCATGGGAAATGCTATAGACCCCCCTGACTGCTCCCATGGGCTAGTAAAGTTTCATGTAATTAGGTCCAAATACCCTTGGGCAGAACACAGTATTTCACCAGATTCACTGAGGGATTTTGTACAAGACCAATTTGGAAGAGGAAAAAAAAAAAACAGACTGATTTATTGTATTTTGTAGGGCTGAGCTGGAGACACGTAAATTGTTAAATCTTCCACAGCCATCTGGAATGGCTGTTGGAACGGTCGCTCTTCTGAGGTGCAGGTTACGACCACTCATCAAAATGGCCATTTCAAAGGCTTTACCTGAGTTAGTTACTCTTTCTGAGAACCTCTGCTTGCATAATCAGACCAAGAAGCAATACATCTTCCATTTCTCAGTCCTGTCAGGTGCTCCCTTTAACAAACAGGATCTGCCCATTTCAGTGTACCACTGCTAGGTTTAAAAACTAGCCCTGATGAACATAGTCCTGGGCACCAATATTTCTTTCAGTCTCAGTTTTTACTTCCTTCTCATCCTTTTCTATAATGCACTTTAAAATTGCGCAACTTAATGGAATGTGTTAGTCAAGTGAGAGGGACTACAAACAATGTGATAAATAAAACCTGTGTTTCAAGAAGAGGAAAATTTGGAAATACCCTGCATTGTTGCTTTCTGTTACGCGTTGTTACAGACTGACTAGAGCATATTATGATGCCAAGGAAATATTGCTCGCTGTCTCCTCCCCTCTTTCTCTCTATCCACTCTTCCTAGCTAACCTGGAATTGGTGGGATAATTTATCAATACACTCAACCACTGTTACTTCTTTTTCCCCTTACATTTGTGCTTGGAAACAGATACTTATCAAAGCTACCAGCTTTATATTTCACACTGTCCCATTTTCTGCTCCCCTCCCCGCCCCGTCAGCGGTTGCTAGTCAACGGGTTAAACTGACAAAAGGACTGTGCATTTTGTGCGTTCGGGGCTCGTAAGTTTGTGATTTTTTTTTTGTTTGTTTATTTGTTTGTTTGTTCGTTCCCTCCCCTCCCGGTCTGTGCGTGTGAGCAGTGCGGAGACGCGGAGGCGATACCGTCAGCATCCCTGTCTCTTATACACA